TAAATATAAGCCGTGGCACCATTAAAGTCCTAGAGGAGAACATTGGCAAGAAAATCTCAGATATTCCACGCAGCAACATTTTCACCGATATGTCCCCTAAAGCAAGGGATATAAAGGAAAGAATAAACAAATGGGATCTCATCTAAATAAAAAGCTTCTGCGTGGCTAAAGAAAACAGTATTAAATTAGCAAGACAACCAACTGTATGGGAAAACATATTTGCCAATGATACCTCAGACAAAGGTTTAATCTCCAAAATATACAAAGAACTTACAGGACTCCACTCTAAGAAGACATCTAACCCAATTAAAAAATGGGAAAAGGACTTGAACAGACACTTCTCCAAGGAGCACATACAGAATATCCAGAGACACATAAAGAGATGCTCAATATCATTAGCTATCAGAGAGATGCAAATTAAAACCACAGTGAGATACCACTTTACACCTGTCAGGATGGCTATCATAAACAAAGCAACAAACAACAAATGTTGGAGAGGTTGTGAAGAAAAGGGGTCTTTAGTTCACTGTTGGTGGGAGTGCAGACTGGTACAACCATTATGGAAAACAGTATGGAATTTTCTCAGAAAAATAAAAATCAACCTGCCTTTTGACCCAGCAATTCCACTGCTAGGATTATATCCTAAGAACCCTAAAACATCCATTTCAAAGAACCTATGCACCACAATGTTCATAGCAGCACAATTTACAATAGCCAAGAGATGGAAGCCACCTAGGTGCCTGACAGTAAATGAATGGATCAAAAAATTGTGGTACATATACACAATGGAATTCTATGCAGCAGAGAGAAAGAAGGAGCTACTACCCTTTGCAACAACATGGATGGAACTGGAAAGCATTATGCTGAGTGAAATAGGCCAGGAGTTGAAAGACAAATACCATATGATCTCACCTTTAACAGGAAGCTAAACAACAAACAAACAAGCAAGCAGGAAAAAAAAAAGAAAAAACAAAGACACTGAAATAGAGGACAAGGGGACAGTGACCAGAGGGAAGAGGGAAGGAAATTTAAGGGGTAGAAAGGGGGAGGGATTTGGAGGAACAAATGTGAAGGACGCAGGTACGAGAGCTAGGGGGGGTGGAGAAGGGAGGGAAGTGGGGAGCACAGGACGGGGGGTGGCTGGGATGGGAGAAATTGACAAAAAACTGTACTTGAAAAATAACTAAATTTAAAAAAATTAGAAAGAAGAAAAGAAAAGACTGGTATTCAAATTACACAAAGGAACCATAAAACTCAACATAAAAAAACCCCACAAACTATCTAATTAAAAAATGGTAGAAAGACCTGAACAAACTCCTCACCAAAAAAGATATACATATGGCAAAAAAGCATATGAAAAGATGCTCAACATCATATGTTATTAAGGACTACAAATTAAAACAGCAGTAACACACCACTATGCACCTATTATAATGACTATAATCCAAAACATTAACAACACCAAGTGCTGACAAGAATATGTAGCAACAGGAACTCTCATTCATTGATGCTGGAAATGCAAAGTGATACAGCCATTTTAGAAAATAGTTTAGCTGTTTATTACAGAATTAAACATACTCTTTTCATACAATCCAGCAATTGCATTCCTTGGTACTTATTTAAAGGAGTTGAAAATTTATGTCTTACACAAAAGATAAATTTTACCTGTATATGGAAATTTATAGCTGCTTTCTTCATAGTTAGTAAAACTTGGAAGCAACCAAGATATCCTTCAGTAGGAGAATGGATAATAAACCAGGGTACATCCAGACAATGAAATATTACTCAGCGCTAAAAGAAATGATCTATCAAGCCACGAAGAAACATAAAGAGACCTAAAATGTATATTCCTTAGTGAAAGAAGCCACTATTAAAAGGCTATATACTATATGATTCCAACTACATGACAGTCTCAAAATGGCAAAACTAAGGGGGCAGTTAAAAGATCTGGGGTTGCCAGAGGTTTGGTAGGAAAGGGAGAAATTAGCAGGTGGAGCACAGAAGTTTTTAAAAAACTGTTCTAAAAAACCTATCTGTTAATTTAATTAATGAGACAAATAAAATAAATCTAACTCTATGGTTCATATTTTACTCCAAAATATAGTTTAACTGGGTTTAAAATTATTTAAAATATTAAATATAGAAAGAAAATGTTAAAGTATTAGAAAATACTGATACATTTTGGGCTTTACAAACCTGACATTATAGGAGATATATAAAAGAAAGGATGTGATAAACTTTCATACATGAAAATTTTACATTTCTGAAACAATTTCCAAAAAAAATGCTAATAGACCATTACAAACATGTTTAAATTACAGGTAATTTTCACAAATGTAAAATAAAACAAGGGACTCTTTTTTCTCCTGCAAAACTGAAAGATATTTACACAATATAAATATCTGATGTTGGCTAGGCTACACAAAATGGACAATCTTATATACTGTTGATAGTGGTATACGATAGGTAGACAACTTGGTGCACTGATAAATTGGTGCAAACTCTCTAGAGGAAAATTTGGCAATAAATACCAAAACTCTAAAAATAGTTCTTCGGACTCAATTGGACTCAGCAATTTCACTTCTAAATTATGCTTAGACTAGCAAATAAAGACTTGAGTATTTTAAAATAATAATACATTCGTACTGTGTAAACCATGCAGCAGTTAGAAATAACAACATGATCTGTTTCATTCACAGGAATTTATGAGCCAAGACACCCCAACAACTAACACACTACTATAATTTTTTCAGGCATGTGTGCAAGCACCTATGTATGTGTAATTACAGTTTAAAATCTGAAGGATTCATACAGAGATGTTAAAAGTCACTGGATATAGTTGGGGGCATTCTGGGATTTTTATTTTATTTTTTTTGATGACTGCACCGATCTTTTTCTTACCAGAGTGCTCCGTTTTATATGGGTTTTTCCTACAATGGGCATGCATTCCTTGTGGAAAAATAAAGGGGTACAAAAAAGATTCCTTTGGAACCCGGTGGGGTTGTTGTGACAGTGGAGGAACTGTGGGAGAGGCCAACCATTGGCCCTTGGCGGAAGAAAGATCCGGTGCAAGGAGGGGAAGAAGCCAGAAAGAAGAGACTTCAAGAGCCCGTGGGGCACCTGGCCCCCTCCCAGCCACTCAGCCTCCCAGCCTCTGCTTCCTTCCTGAATTGGCACCACTCACTGTCCTTGTCCCAGACCGTGGGTCAGGAGGCTGTGGGTTGCTCTGGCAGCCATAGGGCTGTAAAGGCTTCCCAGGTCTTCTACCCCCAAGCCAGTGGAGCTGTGCTGTGCAGGAGCAGCAGCTCTGAGTCACCTGTTATGATCTAGTCCTGTGGCCTACAGAGAAATGCAGCTCAAGAAGGGGACGAGGTTCAGCTGAGCTGCCAGGTGTTCAGCCTTCATTCAGCCACAGGTGTCCATTTTTCTTACTGCCCTCCAAAGCTAAATCCTCTTCTGCAGCCTATTCAGCTTGGCACATGGTTAGCAGCACACTTCGCAGCTAGGGTTCCCTGGGGGAGTATCTTTCCTGAGGTCCTGAGTACCAGGGGCAGTCAGCAAGTGCAGGATACCTAGACCACCTGAGGCTGTAGAGCTGGTTTCTACCATGGCGAATCACTTCCATCTCAGACCCTCAATTTACTTGTCTCTACAAGGGGAATGTCACAGGATGGTCTCCCAGCATTGTTGCGAAGGTTAGAAACCAGTCTAGTTTCATAGCAGACCTCCTAGGGCCAGACATGGTGCATAATCTCATGTAATTCTCAAGCAACCTTAGGAGGTATGTGCAATTTTTTATCATCCTTCCCAATTTCAGCCAAAGAAACTAAGATTCAGATCTTAATAAACTTGTCTAAGGTCACAGAGTAGGGAAAAGTGGCAAGGATGTCCGAACCCACACTTCTTAACTACAAGTCTGGGAATACTTGTTAAATTCTGTTTCTGTCCCCAACTAGGGAAGATTTCTGCCTTTCCTAGGCAGGTGGCAAAGGAGGGGCCCCAACAGGTAAAAAGGAGGAGGGTGCTGGGCTCTGAGTAAGGCAACCCCAAGAGTCACCTTGTGGGGTCCTGCAGGGTTTTGGGTTCCTACCATGTGATGTAGACACAGGTAGAGCCAAACAAAATCCTTACCCTCTGAACGTATATAAAACTGAGAAACGCAGTAACTGTGCGTCTTGGTGCTTATCATAGTTTCTGCCTGTCCAGTGCCCATCCCGCCTCTGGGCAATTCCCCTTGTTCTAGCGCTGCCTTTTACCTAGGCACGGACCCCTCCCCTGAATCCCAACCTGACCAAACCTGTCTCAGGCAGGGTTATCTGTTTGCGTCTGGACACTCCGACACTCCTTCCCCCCACCCCCCCCCCCCCGTAGGGAGGCAATACAGAGGAGAATAAATCTGCCCATTGTTTCCTGACTTCCAGCTCTTGCTAGGTGGCTCCTTCCATCTGGAATGCCCCTCCTGCCACACCCACACCTGGACTACTCTATGCTCTTCCCAGCCTTACAGCTTTTGAGAATTTTCTCTACCTCTTGCACAGGACCAGTTAGGGGGTAGCTTTCCCAGTCCCTAGAGGAAGCAAGGAACTTAGGAAAGGCAGAAGGCCCAGGCGGATAGGTTGTCTCTGTCACAAACTATCAGTGTCATCTTCAGCTTGTCCCTTTTGCTCTCCAAACCTGTTTTCTCTTCTGTACCCGTGGTCTATAACGCCCACCCGAAGGGGCAGTGTATGCTCCATTAAGCGTCCTGCCCTGAGTTCCTACCCAGCCCCCTGCCATGGCCGATTAACTGAAGACCGTGGGCCACACTGGAGACTCGGCTGCCCCAAAGGCGATCCCAGATGCAGACCCCAAGCCCCCGCATTCCCCCGGTGATGCTCGTGAGCCCCGCAGAAAGCCCCAGAGCCTAGTGCCCCCCCCCCCCCCAGTGCCCACAGCAGCGAGTTGGGGCAGCCTGCTATTCTGGGTGAAGGTGGGGTGGATCGGGGTGCGGAGGCACTCACCTCACTCAGAAGGAAGAGCAGCTGTCCCGGACCTGAAAAGATTTTGGAGAGCTGTGCCCTGGCAGCTGGGGCTGGCGCAAACTGGTCTTGGGAGGCTGAGAGGTGGGACTGGCCCGGGCCAATCTGAGAGCAGCGGCCAACGGAGGCAAGAGGGGCGGGGATTCTAGGAGGGCAGAAAGTCACCACGCTTGGAACGACTCTCGCTGAAAGTCGGGCCTGGGCGCCTCACTAAGCCTCCCTGCGCTTGCTTGCTTTAGTAGAGAAGACTTGCTACCGACCCTTGCAGAATTCACAGGGCTTTGAAAAGGCCCAAACGCTCCGAGGTTCTGAGTACTTGCAAGGCTGATGTGGTAAGACGAAACTCTCGCCAAACACGGTAATTTTCGCCCACTCACTCAAAAAATAACGTGTCAAGTTCCTACCATGTGTTGTAGACACAAGTAGAGCCAAACAAAATCCTTGCCCTCTGAACTTCTATGGACCTGAGAAAGGCGGTAACTCCGAGTCTTGGTGCTTATCGGGTTTCTGCCTGTCCAGTGCCCATCCCGCCTTTCTGGGCAATTCCCCTTGTTCTAGCGCTGCCTTCCACTTAGTCTGGATGTCACGGACCTCTCTTGCTCCCAACCTGACCAAACCTGTCTCAGGCAGGGTTATCTGTTTTCCTCTGAACCAAAAAAAGGGGGGGGGGGGGGGGGCAGGAGAGAAAAGAATACAGAGGAGAATAAATCTGCCCATTGTGTCCTGACTTCCAGCTTTTGTCTAAGTGAATCCTTCCACCTGGAATGCTCCTACTGCCACACCCACAGCTGGACTTCTCTGTGCCTTTCCTAGCCTTACTGCTTTTGAAGGCTTTCTCTACCTGAATTCCAGCTACCTAGGCCTCTGTTCAGTGCCTGAACACATCAAACTTGCTCCAGCCTCAGGGCTTTTAAACTGACCTTTGCTGGAATGTTCTTCTCTCAAATACTAGGGAAGCATGCCCTCTCTCACCTTCACATAGTGATGTATATCAAATACCTGATGCAGAGCCCTAGAAAAACTGTTCTAGGTCACAGTCTAAAAGTTCCTCAGCCACTCTCATATCACATCATCCTGTTATACTTTCTTACTGTATGTCTGAGATTTTTCCTGTTCATTATTTGTTTATTGTCTGTCTCTACCAATAAATAGTATCTAAGCTTGAGGGGAGGAAACTGGTGTGATGTATTCACTGTTGTATTCCCAGTGCACAGTGATACTAAATATTTGTTGAATGGTTTAGTGCCCAATGCCAAGGTGAACACCCAAGATTGAGGTGACCTTCCTCTATGGAGGCTTCTAGCCAATTCTCAGGAGCTGTTTGCTTTTTCCTTCTGCACCAGCCTCCCGGTCTCCTGGTTATCCCTCACATACAAAGGGTGACCTTTGTATGACCTATTTTATGACCTTACTAACTCATAAAATTTCCATATGCTATTCATCTTCTTCCCCAAGGGAACTTCATTCGTACTTCAGGAGGTTTCTTATTAAATGTCACATCTTCAGAGAAGATTTCCTTAAGCACACACCCACTAGGACAGATTATATGACTATAGAAGGGCCTCTAATTTTCCTTCATGTACCTACCTCAACTGTAATTTTATTATGGCTTCTGGGGTTATTTGATTGACATGTCTTCCCCATTAGAACTTGAGAGCAAAGACTTGGTTCCCAAAAATTCCCCAACATTTAGTGGAGTGCCTTGTGTTTAGAAGTTGCTCGATAAAATTTGTAAAATATAGTATTGAATATCAGTGGCTTGGAATGAGAAAGTAGTGTGAATAAACCTTTGAAGCTAGAATAGAGAAGACAGAATAATAGGTGGTAATAGGAACCACTAGGTGGTAATAGGAACCAGCAAAAGAATGACTTGGAGATTGGGCACCCCAAAAATGTGTTAGAAAATCAAAGAAGAAACCATTATGTTTCTGGTTATGAGGAGCAGGAGAGGAGGGAAGTTTAAGCAGAAAGTTTAATAATATTGCTACCCGCAGTAACTGTAGAAAGTAGAAAATGTGCCATATGTTTTTGCTGATATATTTCCTAGGGAAAGGGAAACAAAGGAAAAAGTAAACAAAAGGGACTACACCAAACTAAAAAAGATGGCACAGCTAAAGAAGCCATCATCAAAATGAAAAGGAAACCCACTGTATGGGAGAACATATTCACCAATGATATATTTGATAGGGGGATTAATTTCAAATGATACATTTGATAGGGGATTATCAAGCATGTACAGATATTGTACAACTCAATGCCAGGAAGACAAACAATCCAATTAAAAATTATGGAAAGGACCTGAATAGACACTTCTGCAAAGAGTACATACAGATGACCAATAGACATGTTAAAAAATACTCAATGTCATTAATTATGAGAGAAATGCAAATTAAAACCACAAATGAAATACATGACTCCTGCCAGAATTGTTATCATCAGTATACATCAACAAACAAGTGTTGGTGAGGATGTGGAGAAAGGGGAACCCTCATGCACTGTTGGTGGGAATGCAGACTGGTGCAGCCTCTATGAAAAATGGCACAGAGTTTCCTCTAACAATTAAAAATGGAACTCTTATGGAAAAAAGGAACTCTTACCCTTTGCTGCAGCATGGATGGACCCGGAGATTATGATATCAAGTGAAATAAGCCAGTCAAAGAAAGACAAATACTATATGATCTCACTTATTTGTAGAATCTAATGAACAAAATAAACTGACAAACAAAATTAGACCAGAGGCAGGGATACATGGGACAGACTGCTAGATCTCAGAGGGGATTGGAGTGGGAGGGTGAGGGACAGGTTAGTCAATGAACATACATACATATCTCATTGACACAGACAACAGTGTGGTGAAGGTAGGGGTGCAGGGCAAAGGGAGGAAATGGGGGACATCTGTAATAGAGACATATATAAAGAAAATGTGCCAAATGAACTGACTTAATCTGGCTATGGAAATTTTCAAGCAGAATTGCTTCTTCTTGTTATGAATATTAAAATGTGAGAAAAGAGAGATAAACCAAAAGGACTGTTAAATTAAAAGGGACCAAAAATTACTGGATTTGAAAATTCCCAGCTTATCCAGATGTCAAATGATGTTTAAATTAATAAACAACTTTCAGGCAAAAATGTAGTCCAGGGCTATGCCAGCAAAAGATGGTCTAAAGATGAAGCCAAGAATATGCCTATTAAATCCATTGTTAAGTTCTCAGAAAGATCAAAAGTGGAACCTTAGAGTATTCAGTTAAACATGAGGACTTCCAAGAATCTTAAAGCTGTCATTTTAGCCAAAGCCCAAAGTAGAGAACAGTTGTCTAAAGGAGTGAATCTCAGTAAGAGTTTCAGAAAACATACAGGTTTTAAAAAGAATTATATTGGCAAAACAGTATCAACTTGGGAGTTTGGACTAAAAGAATTAGAGATGGTACAAAATAAGAAGAGACTTCTGAAACTGCCCTTCCTGCGCCACCCCAATTCTACTGAAGCAGTCTAAGAAAGTACATAGATGCAAACATGGGCTACATTTCATGGAAACAACAGGAAGACCTGAGAGCAGAACAGAGTCCACAGATGGAACCCAGAGCATGGAGAGGCCAGAGTCAGACTGAGTCCTAATCAAGGAACTTCCAGCATCTGCCCCGCTGTGTTTCAGAGTTGTAGGGACTAGTGACACTCATATGCCTCCCATATCTACCCGCTTTGAACAATATCTATAATGGTTATGGTATGCCTGTATCACCATTGTATGTTGAGGAGGTGAGGAGCAGGGGTACAAACAACTTGTCCCTGGAACTCACAGGTTGGCAAATTGAAAGCAACAGCAGTCAAGGAGGTACACTGAAAAAATACACCCAAGGGGCCTCCTTCACATCAGAACTTGATTTGGATGCAAAGATTGTGGACTCTGAGCTTCTTCTGTGCTAGGATGGGGCTTTGATGGGGGTTGGGGGTGGAGGGAGAGTGCAGTGTTAGGAAAGGTGTGGAATATTTTGCAAGTGGGAGGACTGTAAATAATTTGTAAGTAGCTACTGGGGAGACTGTAGTAATTTTTAAACTCTTTGACACTCCCTTCATCAAGAAGAAGAGTACAATTTTTGAGCCCTTGAGCATGGGCTGAACTCAGTGACTTGCTTCTGATAAACAGAATATAGTGGGAATAACAGTGTGTGGCTTCTGAAGTCATCATTTCATAGACCAGATAAATGGGGCCTGTGGTCAGAGAGTGGCAGAAACCATCTCTTTTTCATCTTAAAACTCTATGGTAATCTCTGAATGAGTCATACTGAACACACTTCTACCAGTTCAGTCCACTGTGCCAGGAATGCCCCTTCACTTCATTTATCTAAATTTATGCTTCAGGGATTTGCTTGTGTATTATCTCTTTTGGAAAGCCTTCCTTCAACCCTCCTCCCATGAGAATCCATATTTGTAGCATGGATTACACTCCAACATAATTTTCCAAATGCTTGTCTGTCTCTCTCAACTGCAAGGCTTCTGAAGACAAGGACAAGGACTAATTCATCTGTGAACGCCAGAACCCTGCATGGAACCTGACTCAAAAAGGTACCAGTGGTTGAGTGTGGGTTAAGGATGCGCCCGACAGAGAGAGCCTCTGCCTGAGCTCTCTGTAGATCCCTGGGTGGCTGGAAGGATAGTGGGTGTTTGCACGATCTTATGTTCTGCTCAAGGAGTTAGGACTACTGCTCCAATACAGGGGCAGTTTAGAGGATTGGATAAGTCTGCTCAAAGCCACATGGATGGGTGATGATAGAGAGATGGATTTACTTTCCATTATGGGAAGATTATATAAGGGTGATTCAGCTTGTGCTTTGGGAACTTAGTGCCTGGGTGGTGCTATGTGTACCCTGCAAAGAAAACATTAACTTGCCAAGGTCTATGACCTTTGGGAAATCAAAACAAGCAGAGCACATGACCTGAACTTTCTTTTCAATTTTGGGGGTCAGTATTCCTCTTTTGCTCAACTTCTATGACTTCCTGTTCAGATGCAAAATGAGAGCATTCCATGCTTCTACTTTGCTTTGTAAATTAGTCATGGTATCACCTGATATCTCATCCTTAGAACCTCTCCC